TGGCGAAGAGCCAATCTACCAGGACTGTGGCGTCGATCTCGCACCTCGTGCCGCAGAGCCCGTACCGAAACCAGTACCAGAGCCACAAGATCAAGTCTGTATTTGGTGCCCGGAAGCCGATTGCACTCTAGCTTTCCCTGAGGGCTGCTACTGTCGCAATGACAACGCGAGAAGATGCTTCGAGGAATGCGGTGGTCCAGAGCCGATTTACGAGGACTGCAGTATCGATATCGCACCTCGTGCTCCAGAGCCCGTGCCGGAACCAGTATCCGAGGCACAGTCCGAGACTTGCACTTGTGAGCCCGTCTTCTGCCTTGGACCCGAGTCTTGTCGGTGCGCCTACGACGCAGCGGTAGCGTGTGCCCAGAAATGTGGTGGTCCCGCGCCGCCTGACTTCTGCCCTCCTCGCCCCATCGAAGCTCGCGAAGCAAAGCCAGAGCCCGTGCCAGAAGCAAAGCCAGAGCCTGAGGCCGAGGTTTGCACTTGTGAGCCCGTCTTCTGCATTCAATCTTGGCCGGAATCTTGTTGGTGCGCCTACGATGCAGCGGCGGCATGTGCCGAGAAATGTGGTAACCCCGTGCCTGTCGACACCTGCCCTCCTCGCCCCATCGAAGCTCGCAAAGCAGAACCAGAACCGGTCCCGGAACCCGTAGCGGAGCCACAAGAAGAGACATGCGAATGCGAGCCCGTAGTTTGCATCGCACAATGGCCCCAGTCTTGCTGGTGCTTCTACAATGCGGAAGTGAGGTGCGCCGCAAAGTGTGGCAAGCCCGCACCACCTCCATCGACCTGCCCTCCAATCCCCGTCGAGGCTCGTGTAGCAGAGCCGGAGCCAGCTCCTGCGCCCATTCCTCCTCCCCCTCCTCCTCCAGAGTGCGAATGCCCTCTGGTTAACTGCATCTCGACACAGCCTGAGCTATGTGAATGCCTGAATGCTTCTGCACAGAGATGCTATGAGCTTTGTGGTGGAGAGAAGCCCGTACCCCAGGTAAGCCAACTTGCTACTCAAAAGTCTGAATCAATCTAACGATGCAACAGATCTGTCTACCCGACGCCAGCACAACATTCTCAACCAGCATCATACCCATTCCAACCCCCGTCAATCCTCGCCAAGCTACCCCCACCAACCAGATCTGTGGCGGCGGTCGCGCAAGTCCTCTTCAAGAGTGTCCTGCAGGTCAGACTTGCATCACTGACCCTTTCACGCCTGGCTCTTGCGGTCCTGCTTGCGATATGCTGGGTATCTGCGTCAGCGAGAAGCTGTGTGGTGGTTTTGCGGGCTTTGAGTGCGATATCCCAGGCCAGATCTGTGTTGATGATCCGAGGGACGATTGTGATCCGTTGAATGGCGGCTCGGACTGTGGAGGGCTGTGTGCTTGGCCGCAGTGAGTTATTGAAATGGGCGGTTGGTGAGAGAGACTTCGGGAATGAAGAGCGTGTATGTCAGGGGTGTAGATGTGTTGTCATTCTTTACGACACTCCTTGATTGATATTAGCGACGGGTTCCATTCTTTTACCAAAATTGCAATCGTTTGATCTCGTCAGACTTTTCCGCTGATTTGTCTTTGAGTCCTTTTTTTTTCCTTTTCCTCCACTTTTAGTAGACCATGTATGCGAACTGGAACCCGCCTCACATCCCAAGACTCCTGTTCATCTTATTCCCCGCCTTGACAAACATCGTCACCAACACCGCCACACTAGCAGCCCACGTCCCACTCCTCAGGTAGCTCGTCTTGTTCTTTTCAACCTTCACATATAGGAAACTGTATATGACGCGTAGACCGATATACGACGCTACCATGGTGTTCATCGTTGCTGTTTGGTTTCATCGTCAGCATGCATTTCCCATCCACCCAATAGTACACAAACGTCCATCCATCCCTCTTACGCTCATCGATTACAAAGCCTCACCAACGACTCATTCATAGCTTAAGGAAAACAGACTTACTAATGTCTAATCCAACCGCATTCCCCGCCAACACCGCCCCAATGAAAAACGGCGCATTCTCCATGCTATTCTGATGGCAAGCTTCTGCGCGTTCGGCTTTCCTATAGACGGCTTCTGGGGTGCATTTTCGGTAGTGTTCTAGTGTTGAGGCGCCGCGCGGGTTGTTGTTGTTGCGTTGGCCGTTTGTGGCGGCTTTGAAGAGTCCTTGCTGAGGGAGGCGTGGTGTTAGTGTGGGGTTAAGAGGATGGAGTTGCGGAAGATGGGGGAAAGGGGAAGGGGCAAATTGGTAAACTTACAGAGTACATATGTGGGTAGAGGGCCATGATCCAGTATACTGGGATGGCGTGGAGAGAGTAGTTCGCTGCCATGATTAACCGGTTGTGTGAGGTATTTCCGATCCGATCGTTGTTGTTGGAGGGATCCAGCGAATTGCTCGTTCTTGATGTTTGGGGAAACAGTGAGTCTCTTATGCTTTTCAGATTCTCTTGATGTTTAGTCGTGTTGGTAGGTTTGTTGGGTAGCCCGAGACGCGCATTGACGCGAGATGCTAGTACTACGATCAGTAATCACAGGAAAGCGCTGACATTCACTGACGTCCTCGCAAGACTAGCTACGATCAAGGTCGGATCGTCGCGTTGTATAGACATTCTTTCGGCCGAAAAATGGTTTCGTCGGAACTTTATTCCATTACACACAAAACTCGGTATGGAGAAGTAGTTGCGAGTTCCGCGCTATCGAATTCGGTTTTCAACAACTCTACACTTTCTATTACTGATACATCGACAACAAACACATGTACATCTTCTATCTACATTCAACCCCACAACGCCATCTACAACGCAATCTTATCCGCCATGCCCGCCCCACCCATCCACTCAATATAACTCTCAATACTCTTCTGCATCGCATCCGTCGCCTTCTCAATCAACCCCGTGATCGGCGTTAGGCCCGCCTGCTCCTTCATAACATCGATGAAATCATTATTAAACGCATCATTAATATTGACCTTCGCAACACCACACTCAATGCACTCTTTGAGCAGCTTCTCCTGAAACCACTCTTTACCCGCGCCGTGCAGCACGAGAGCAACGCGGTCCCCAACTTTGCTGTGTACGTTGCGCAGACGGGGATAATCGAGTTGAGGACCTTTAGGACCGTATTTGCCGTGTACGTTTCCAAAGGCGGGGGCTAGCCAGTTGATTCCTGTTGCGACGAATTCTTCTGCTTGCTCAGGGGTGGTGAGAATGGCTTCTAGACCCATTTCACTCAGGTCGCCGACACCGTCTTCGCCGCCGTCGATACGGCCTGGTTCGGCTTCTGTAATAATACCGCGCTCATTGCAGTACTTGACCAACTCGGCCGTCTTTTCCAGATTATCGTCAAAATGGCTCATGTCGACCATGATGCCGTCGAAGCCGTTCGCGAAGTTCGCTGCTTTCTTAACGATTTCAGGTGTCTGCGCGTGGTCCATGTGCAGGGCGACGGGGACGCTGGCGTTGTCGGCGGCTTCGCGGGCGGCGTGCAGGAGGATGCCGTCGGCGTAGTTGAGGGCCCAGGGGAAGAGTTGGATGATTAGTGGTGCGCGCTTTGCTTCTGCTGCGCGGACTGAGGCGAGGATGCCTTCAACGTTGTAGCAGCATGTTGCGCAGATGGCGTATTTGTTTGCGGCGGCGTGGGCGACGAGCTTGACGGCTTTGTTTTGGGAGAGATCGGGTGCCATGGTGATGGCTGTGTAGATGTTTTCAAGGGTAGATTTGGTATGATGATTTCAGGTACAAGGTAGAAGAGGAGAAGGGAGAGAAGGGTGATATGAGCGATGATGCAACTTCCCCTCGTCGTTCCGGTTGCATTTCCGACATTCCGATGTCTTCTCTTATGGTGGGGCTGTCGGCAACTGCTGGATAGCCTCAGCGGCGGAAACACCGATATTCGGGTCATCTGCCGGCTAATTGCAGCACTGGTCGTTGAAGATACGTACCCGCGGAATGCCTAGTCGGGCATTACTTGCCGCGGTCTTTGCTTTACCCCAGATTTACCCAATTGTTGTTACATCAGAACTTCCACTCGATCCTCATCACCTAGATATCTATGGAGTAGAAGGAGGCACTCGAGACCTCAGGATCGTGAGACCGAACTACGCATGTTTGCTTAAACTCGCGAAGTTCTAGCATCATAGAAGACCATATCGGGGACACTTCGGATAGAACCCCTCCTAGACGATCGTGCGCGAAACCGCATGCCATTTTACGCACCGGCACTTCCACTAGAATTTACCTCGCTGACTATTATGAAGTTCGTCCAGCTAGCAGATACTGTTCCCGTCAGATGGGCATGTTTCCTCTCTACACTTGTTAGAGTTATTGCCTATCCTCGTCCACACCACGACTGCCTCGCACAGACTGCACGATGATAGAAAACTTTACTTGAAGTTTCACGTTTGATTGCCGTGATGTATGGGCTTCTAATGTACAATCGTGATCATGAAAAGTCCAGCCCAAGCCTACTGACGGCCATATACCCAAAGGGCTTTGATCCCTAGAACCTTGAACTCCAGCTTCAGCCCAAGATCCGCCGAAGCAAATGCAAAGAAGCACTACTCATCCGAGTGCCTAGATAGAAGAATATGGCATTCGCAATGGCCAGGAAATAATAACCTTCAGGTCCATATCAGATAAACCACCCAAGCCCGAGACTAGAGTATGTGCCTGGCTGTCTGAACCAACGCCGCCCATAATAAGATCCCATGGTATCGAGCCGCTCATAACGCCCAGAACTCCACACATGCTCATAAGGAAATATCCGAAGTGGTCATAATAGCCGTACAAATGCCGCTGAAATCGTCGAAGAAAGGAAGTAGGTGGACTGTGTCTGCGAACAACGCAGAGTGAACCGGAACAGTAGCGCGCTGTGATGAACTACACAGACACGTTAGTATCCCATCTGATAAGTAGCATAAAAGCCATTCAGAGGTCCGGTTCACAAGAGGTTCGGCGTGGTTCGACATCAGTCCTATAGTACACTATCAGTAGAAGAGCAAAGCAGATAGACTAGTTCAGCGAATGACGCCCCAACTATCCATGCTGCTAAGACCTCCAGTGCGCTCCTTCTTCTTGAACGCATTCCAGAAGCGAAGCGTCTCATCACCAGCACCGGTGACGATGACCTGACCATCCGGGCTCATGGCCAAGTAGAGTACACGGTAGGTGTGGCCCGTTAACGAGACGACTTGCTGCATGCTCGGGTACTTCCAGACGATGATCTGGTTCTGACTGTAACCGTGCGTGGATACGATCTCGTTGCTGTTCTTTGACCATGCTAGGTTGCAAACTTGGCTACCAGTATCAAGACTGTTGATGAGGTTTGCTGGTGCTGTAGGCGATAGAGGTACGTTGGCAGTGGTTGCAGCTGACGCGGCCGCCGATGCGGAGGCGAGTGCTGAAGCTGACGGGCCGCTGGAGCTGACGAGGGTATTCCAGAACTTGATAGTCCGGTCTGCTGTACCACCGCCGCTAGCGAGAAGACCACGCTGATGTGGGCTCCAAGCAATGGCCTTAACGGCGGCTTGATGCTCACTCCACTTAAAGGTAGGCTCGGCGTTGAGCTTGTCCCAGACCATGAGCTTGTTGTCGTTGCCTCCGGATGCGAGTTGTTGATCTTCCTGATTCCACTTGAGGCCGCAGACTTCTTGCTTATGACCAACAAGCTTGCGCAACCATTGCTCTGGCTGACGCACGTCTCGGTGGTAGATTGTACGGTCTCGTGAGCCTGAGGTGAGGATGTGTTCGTTCCATGCAAGGGCGCCGACCCTAGCTGTGTGACCTGTCATGGTGCGAAGACGGCGCTGAGTCTGCGCATCCCAGATCTGTACTTGGCCTCGGTTGGTTCCGACTGCAATGTGAGAGCCCTGCTGGGGATTAGTACGTGCGGCATATGATCTAGATGGCAGAACTTACGCGCTGTATCCAGTTGACACTTGTAACCGAATCATCGCCAAGTTCACAGAGCTTGGTGACGCGACCACTACTCGAGTTCCACATGTAGACACATGATCCAAGTCCTACTCCCAGGGTATTTTGGCTGCCCCAGTCCACGAGGTTGAGGTAGAAGTCATCTGCAAGATCCGGTGCATCCAGAACCTTGTATGGTACCTTGGAGACGGCGCGGGCTTGACGTTGTGGACTAAGAAGCATGCGTTGACTGCTGTACTTGATTGGTGATAGACTGTAGAGATCTGAACGAGCGTTGAGGTTGAGAATACCATGTCGACTTGAGGGCGTCCTTGACGGAGTTGGCTGGCCGGAGTAGGAGAACAGATTCTTGTGCGGGGTTGATGGGGTTCCTGAAGGCGGTGGTAATGTGGCTGTGGTCCTAGCTGGAGGGGTGTGTGAGCGTCCTGCCCCTCGCATGTTGGCACTATCTGTCGGCGACAGACTCTGGGGAAAGGCTTGGGGCACGGAGCCCTCGAACATCTCTTGTCGGAGTACGGCGGAGTAGGTGCGGTTGGCTTCTTCGGCTATGGCGGGTTAGTGGCTGTATAGCAGAGGACTGGAACTGCTTACTCTTCTGGAAGTGTAGCTCGTGATGCGGAGTGCGCCTCGCTTTGGACGGAGTTGCTGGCGAGGCTTCATCGTGGAGCAGGTTGTAGCTTGCCTGGAGGTCTTGGCCTGCGCGATTTGGTATGAATCTGGTGAGACGTCAGTACAGAGAATCCAGTGCGACTAGACTGTTGCAATCTCACCTGTCGCCATAAATGCGCGGGCGCTTTCGGCTTGGGCTTGCTGTTGGTGTCCGCTCCCTAACTCGGCCAGCCTGTTCAATGTGTCCAAGGGCTTTCGTTAATGCCGCTGCATCTATAGGTTCTGAGCCCCGATCGAGTGGGTTGGAGGGGAAGATCTGGTTGCGCTTGTGCGAGGCGGTAGGCGGTGTCTTTGACTCGGGCGGCGATATCAGTGTCGGGGTTGCGACGCCCTCTTCGGTCTGCGCATGCGCCGCAGCGGTCTCCCCTGGGTCGTCTCGCGCCATCGAGGTAGATGCGCCTGGTTATGGGTTTGTTGTTGTGTAGATCGGTGCACTGTGCGAAGTGAAGTAACAGAGTCGTGGCGGGGTGAGGGTAATCGAAGATCGCGAGTGGCGGGTTAACTGCAGCTGGCAGGACAATGGTTGCCTGAAACGAAAGTGAAGGCGGGAACAATGAGGTGAGTCGCGCGGTGACGTGGAGTCGTGGTATTGTGATGATTGATAGCCCCTAAGTCGTTTGCCCTCCTCTTAACCAATGACAGGTCGTCGCGGCGCACAATAGTGCAGACAATAGGTATGCTTTTTATTCAATTTGGCTGCGCATCGAATTACGGTAGACGTGGGTATTGTCGGCGTGGTGTTGGCGGTGGGCGCGCAACGGGCGGGGTGGGCGGCGGTGACCTTGTTGTGGTTGCGGGTCGGAGCTTGTATGCTAGACAGGCGCAGGGTGCTGGGGGAGCAACGAGAGACACGGCGGGCGCTGTAAGGAGAGACAATAGTAATGGGCTAATCCTGGGCCAGCTAGGCTATGTAATGGTGAAAGCGAAGATGGGGTTGAAGATGTCGTCTGAACAGAGCAGCAGGCGAGGTGAGGGTGGCCGCTGCGATGCGCCAGGGCAAGAGCCGTCACGTCGTCGCTGCCATATCCGCATGTTTTGATGTTCGTACCTTCCACCACGACGCGTTCCTTGGGTTCCTCTCATCCAATCAGCGTCGCGCAGGGCCGCCGAGTGGAGTCTAGCGCTAACCTCCGACGTGCCCTCCATCGCCTCTCAATCGATACCCCACACCGCCCGCGGCCAGCTTGTAGACGTCGTGTCCAATCCTTGATGCTGCCATCATCCAAGCTGCGCATTACACTACTGCACCTCGCACCGACAACACCCCTTGTTGTATCACCTCCCAACTTTATACTATCGCGTGTACGAACCATGGCGACCAAACCCTCCCTCAAAGCTGCCGAGGACTTCCTTTCTTTTGTCAATGCCTCGCCCACACGTACGTCGCGTGCTGTCGTTACCTGAGTAGACACTGATTGTAGATAGCATTTCACGCTGTCAAGTCAGCAAAGGAAAGATTAGAGAAGGCGGGCTTCAAGCAGATCAAGGTACGCAACTATGCAGTCTAAGTGTCGACAGTGGGGTATCATGATCCCGTTCATGTATTCGGTGGTAGAGGCAGATAGTAACAATAACCAGGAGCGCGACTCATGGGCACCCACCCTGCATCCCGGAGGCAAATACTACCTCACCCGTAACACATCCTCCATCGTCGCATTCGCTATCGGCAACAAATGGAAGGCGGGCAATCCCATTGCCATGATCGGCGCCCACACCGACTCTCCCTGCCTGCGCATCAAGCCTGTATCCAAGCGAACGGGCGACGGCTTCATCCAAGTAGCCTGCGAGACATATGGTGGTGGACTATGGCATACCTGGTTTGACCGCGACCTCAGCATTGCAGGTCGCGCCATGGTGCGCACAAAGGACGGTAACATCGAGCAACGTCTGGTCAAGGTCGAGCGACCAATTCTGCGGATACCTACTTTGGCTATCCATCTGGATCGCCAGGAGAATTTCCAGTTCAACAAGGAGACCCAGCTATTCCCCATTGCTGGTCTCATTGCTGCAGAGCTGAACCGTCAAGGCAAGGGCGAAGAGTCCAAGGAGGAGGGCAATGACGCGGAGACCGAAGGCCCCCTCGCTGCGCCGACCGCGAGACACCACCCGTACATAATCGATATCATCGCTGAGGAGGCCGGCGCTGAACCGAGCGACATCGTAGACTTCGAGATGGTCCTGTACGATACGCAAAAGTCGGTGATTGGCGGTCTGAACAACGAGCTCATCTTCTCTCCACGACTGGACAATCTTATGATGACGTATTGCAGCGTCGAGGGCCTTCTCAAGAGTCTGTCCGACTCGTCAGCACTGGAAAAGGATTCGACTATCCGATTGATCGCATGCTTCGATCACGAGGAGATTGGCTCCCAAACAGCACAGGGAGCAGACTCCAATCTGCTACCTGCTGTGATTCGCCGTCTCTCGGTATTGCCAGCGTCCGAGAGCAACTCCGATGCATCGTATGACAAGGTCGAGGCAGACACTGCTACCGCGTACGAGCAAACGCTCGCCACGTCTTTCTTGATCTCCGCCGATATGGCTCACTCCGTACACCCCAACTATCCGGCCAAGTACGAGGCCCAGCACAGGCCTGAGATGAACAAGGGCACTGTTATCAAGATTAACGCCAACGCGCGTTACGCTACCAACTCACCGGGTATCGTTCTGCTTCAAGAAGCAGCCCGCCGTGCCAAAGCGGCTTCTTACAACCCGAAGTCAGGAAAGGAGGGTGTTCCGCTCCAGCTCTTCGTTGTTCGTAACGACTCTTCGTGTGGAAGCACCATCGGGCCTATGCTGTCGGCGGCCATGGGCGCGCGTACTCTTGATCTGGGTAACCCTCAACTCAGCATGCACAGCATCCGTGAGACTGGTGGTGCGCATGATGTTGAGCACGCTGTAAACCTGTTCGACAGCTTCTTTGAGAACTTCAAGGAGCTTGAGAAGAAGATCATCGTGGACTGACTCGATCGATCGAAGCTATAATGAACATAGTGTCGCAATACAACATAGCATGAATGAACGAATAGAAGTGTGAAATACTGAACAGATCGATGAGAGGTTGTGTGATGAGTACCTTGTGGACTTCGGAATCCGTCGGTATCGTTCCGCTGGATTTCAGGGTCCACGCCAAGCACCCCACCAGTGTCATCTTTCGTCCGTGTTTACTGACGCGGGAGCTGTAACGAGACAATCGGCATTATGGCAAAACCTCAATTCCTGTCTGGCGACAAGAACGCCATAGACGAGTTCCTGGACAAGTTTGATGTATGCGCCTAGAATCTCCGGTTGCCAGACGCTTCACTGACGAGATGCTCAGGTCTTCCTCTTTGACTGCGATGGTATGCGCCAGCCTTGATTCTACACTCATGTCCCTTGCTCGCGGTCACCATAGTGTCCGTGGCCATCTACTGATCGTGACGAAGCATAGGCGTCCTCTGGTCCGGCGATCACTTGTACGAGAAGGTCCCAGAAACCCTTGAGATGCTGAGGAGTAAAGGTAAGACACTCACCTCTAGGCAGCATGATTACATTCCAACTGAGTAACCCCAGGAAAACAACTCGTCTTTGTCACGAACAACAGCACTAAGTCGCGCGCGGACTACAAGAAGAAGTTCGAAAAACTTGGTATCCCCGCCCAGGTGGTAAGTAAGCAGGAGCCCAGAGTATGACCATTGGCTGACACGATATCAGGAAGAAGTCTTCGGATCGTCCTACAGCGCCGCCGTATACATCGCTCGCATCCTCAAGCTCCCCGCGCCGAAGAACAAGGTATTCGTGCTGGGAGAGTCGGGCGTAGAACAGGAGCTCGAAGCTGAAGGTGTCCCATACATTGGTGGTACAGACCCTGCCTACCGGCGCGAGTTCCGGCAGCCAGAGGACTTCGAGGCTATTGCGAACGGCAGTCTGCTCGATCCAGATGTCGGTGTCGTGCTGAGTGGTCTGGACTTCCACTCCAACTACTTGAAGACGGCAATCGCGTTCCAGTACCTACAACGTGGCGCGGTATATCTCGCGACCAACATCGACAGCACACTGCCAAATGCGCACTCTCTGTTCCCCGGTGCTGGTGCATCAGGTGCTGCGCTTGAGAGAGCTATTGGTCGAGCCCCGTTGTCTTTGGGTAAGCCGAGTCAGGCCATGATGGACGCGATAGAAGGCAAGTTCAAGTTCGACCGAAGCAGGACATGCATGGTGGGCGACAGATTGAACACGGATATCCAATTCGGCATCGACGGAAAGCTGGGCGGGACTCTGGCTGTGCTTACCGGCGTTAGCAAGAAGGAGGACTTCCTGGCTGAGGGTGCGACAACTGTTCCGATGGCTTATGTGAACGCGCTGGGTGACCTCATGGGCTGAGCAATGATGTGATGAAAGCAGGGCTGCACTTAGAAGCAGGGTTGCAAGGGCATAGATAGGGTTCGGTATAGAATACAGGGAAACGATGCTAAGACTCGCATGCCATTCTGAACCGCTGGGTCTGGGAACATGGCAAGTAATGATGACCCAATCAGACACGCGAACAGCGCGTGCGCTACATGTGGCTAGCGTGCTTTACGCGTGCACGCGAACGCGCCTGCCACTTTAACACCCCCATCAACCGTGGAGACGTGCAAGCCGCCGAACAACGCAAGAAACCTCAACATCATGATCCGCCACGACTACTCTCGAGTTGACCCCAAGCGACGCGCACAAATCGATCCTAAGAGGCAACAATTTAAGAAAGCAGAGTTCCAGCAGCAGAACTATGAACACCGACTGAACTTCTACACGCTGCCACCCACCGCAGAGATTACACTGGAAGAGTTTGAGACATGGGCAATCAACAGGCTGAAGGGTATGCACCTTTCATCACGACTACCTGATCGTGCTAACAGCGTGCGACGCAGTCCTCTCCGAACTCGAAGCCTGCAGTTTCCGCAACAAAGGCCCCGAAGAGACCGCCGAATACATGAAGAGCATACTGGAGAAATACCTACCACTGCGATCGGACTCGTCACGAAGTCAGAAACTACAAGAAGAGCGGAGGAGAGACCACTATTCACACTTCATACTGCGCCTTGCGTTTTCGTCAACAGAGGACCTGCGACGGCGGTTTTCGCGGCTAGAGACTATGCTGTTTACGCTGCGGTTCAAGGATGATGATCTGCGAGAGCGGCAACAATTCGTCAACAGCCTCAACCTGGATTGGACGGAGGTTAAGGAAGATGAGAAGCGGGAGCTGAGGGATGAGTTGCATGCGGCGAGTGGGATTAAGAAGACTGAGGATCAGGAGTGGTTCAAGGTTGATTGGGAGAGGGTACCTGAACTTGTTGCGCAAAGAAAGGTACTCTTGAAGAGGGGAATGGCGTATGTTCCGCAACGAGAGCAGATGAGTCTGGTGGTTGCTGAGTTTACGAAGAAGCTGGACGAGGCACTAGAGGTATGGACTCCGCTACACACATCACGGGAGGCATCACTAAAAATCATGTAGCTAACAGCCCGCGCCCTCCCCCGCCTCGACGAAGACGACCGCCTCGCCCCCATCCTCGCCCACCTCTCCCAATCCTTCACAACGCCCGACGCCGCCTACTCCACCTCCGACGCCAACATCGACGGTCTCTCCACCATCACCGCAAACAGCATCGACACACTCTCCCAACACTTCCCCCTCTGCATGCGCAACCTGCACAACAGACTGCGCGACGACTCGCATCTCAAGCACTTCGGCCGTCTGCAATACACCCTCTTCCTCAAGGGCATCGGCCTCAGCCTCGACGAATGCCTCGTCTTCTGGCGCCGCAGCTTCAAGCTCATCACCGACGAGAAATTCCAAAAAAAATACAAATACAACATCCGCCACGCCTACGGCGACGTGGGCGGCGACGCAAACCGTCGCGGCCGCGGCTACACACCGTATTCCTGCCAGAAACTCCTCACTGAGGCCTTGCCTGGTGCTGGTCAATCGCATGGCTGTCCTTACCGCACTTTCACGCCCGAAAACCTGCTCACGATGTTGCAGCGTGTGGGTGTTAATGATAGGGATGTGCTCAAGACGGTTAAAGAGGATGTGGGGAAACAGAGGTTTCATGTTGCGTGTAATAGAGTGTTTGAGTGGAGTCACAAGAAGGAGATTAAGAAGGTTAAGGAGGAGGGGAGTTGGAGTAGTAATGATTTGGATACGATTGTGCATCCGAATACGTATTTTAAGAGGAGTTGGTTGTTGAAGCATTTGGGGGAGGGGAATGCGGGGGTTGTTGGGGGGGAGAAGATGGAGGAGTAGGGGGTTATGTTCTTAGTAGAATTGTATTTCAATGCCAGTTCATGCTGACTTTCAGCGACTTTCATCATACTTTTACGAGACGATTGGATTCCGTGAGGTAGTCGCAGCTTCCTAAGGCGCTATGGCATCTGTGCGTTTTTCGGTTAGTCGCCTATTTCGACACTCGCGCGAGCTCCTACCTTCACAATTCTCCAACTCCATATTCTGCCATCATTTCCAGCATGAGTTGGAATGTAGAAAAATCCATTGAGTTGCACAACCAGATTGTTGCCCATGCGCTCTCACATCTTCCGCCTGAACACCAACCCAACGTCGAGCGGGATTGGTTCGCCACACACCGGCTGGATCCAGCTTCCACGAAATCTGAGTTCGATCTTGACGATGATCTCGTAGAGTTCCTATCTGATGTCAAAATCGTCGCACCCGAATATAACGGTCATCTTTTAGATTTCTGCCCAGTTCTCGTTGGCGTTGTAAACCCTCGCGGTGGTCACGGCCTGCGACCCCAGTCGTGGGAAGGATCTCGCGATCACGCTAAACTCATCTCGCTGTACCACAACGAAGGTCCCAATCCAGGCGGCTTGGTCTACAGCCTGGACACGCGGCAGGTTACCTACTTGAAGGATGCATCTACCTCACCCTTTGAGCCGGAGCTTCCGTGGGCCAATCTGAACGACGTCTTACAACTCTATTGGAACTGCATCGAGTCCGGGAAGTTCGTTATAGACGCCGGGAATTTCTTTGGATACAGCAATCCAGGGTGGAGGATCGAGCATTGTACGGAGAAAGAGATGGATCAGATGTTGGATGTGTGGGGTAGCTTGGTCGATTTAATTGCGAAGAAAATGCCTGCATCCGGCACGCATGGAAGACGAAACAACGCTCAAGACGAAATGGAGGACGAAGGACCCCGACGCAAGAAGAGAAGGACGCAAGAAGTAGGCTTGGTTTCTACCGAGGTCTTGCACATGTACCCAGCGATTCCGCCGTTCGTGCGCGCCTTCCTCTCGAGAGCTAAGAAACCTCCGTTCAAATCCATCGCGCCACAGCTCGATGTTCCTGATGAGGCTTTCGTTCATCGTATAGGAGCACAGATGCAAAAGAAGGACCCACAAGCTACTCTCATAGAGTCCCAGACCGAGGTTATAGGAGAACGTTTATTTCTGCTTTTCCCGTGGCGCACACAAGGCATGCCACTCATTTCCGAATGCGACCAGCTGCGTTGGCAGCCTACAAACCGATCTGGGATTTTGGACAATCGGGGAGGACTATACATTCATCACAACAAGTTCTACTCACATTGCAGCACATTACTGCTTCCATTTCCTGTGGGGGGTAACGGTCATGTTCTCCGAGGTGACGACACCACAGTGGAGGAGCCGGGCCAGGACGTGCTGTATGATCTTGGCCTGCGCGAACCTTTCCTACCTGACATCGGAACGCCGCTGATTCCTATACTGCTCAACTGGTGGGAGCAAGTCGAAAATGACTCCTGGGCTGTTGACAAGAATGGAGTTGCAGGAGGAGGCGAGCTTTGGAAGAAGGCGGATACCGAGAAAAATGCGGAGGACTTCCAAATCGAGTGGGGAATGCGTCTGGCCGATCTATACTAGTTGTTGCGCATCGCCAGATCGGTAACGACGAGGCTTGGATACGTGGCAGTTTGCGGATACATGCATGATTGCTTGAGCCAAGACGCGATGGCGCGGTATCACGCCCTGCGAGTTTGTCAACAGCAAACCTGTACCTGCTCTACTCATTATGGGACAATGTGTCTGGCACTAGATGCTCACGGAACTACGATCAGCCAACAATGAGCGGCCGGGCTTCATCCACCTTCATTGGGGACAATACCCATGGATCCACGCTCAACCAAGGATCTATCGTCACTGGAGACAGCTCACACGTCGGTAACATCAACCATTTCCACACGGCTACACAGGAGGATTCCGCGCGCAAATCATGCCTGAGAGACCTCCTGGCAGCTTTAGGGGATGATCCGGACGACTATCGGCAGATGCTCGAGGACCGCAAAGGACCGAAAACACTGGGCACTTGTGAGTGGGTTTCATGGAGTGTTGAGTACAACAATTGGGCTACCAAGTCTTCCGGTCTGCTGTGGATCTCTGGAGATGCCGGTAAGGGCAAGACCATGCTTGCCCTCAATCTTGTCAGCACGCTGAAAACCCAATCATCGGCCGGATATGTTGTGCACTTCTTCTGCAGCCGAGATCATGGAAAGAATACCGGCTGCTCCATCCTCCGCGGTATCATCTATCAACTGCTTGTCCAGAAGGAAGAGTTGTTCGAGCATATTTCGGATGATTATGAGAAACACGGAGCCAGTCTTTTCGACGACAGGAAATTCCAAGCCCTTTGGGCCATCTTCGCCCGTATCATACATGATCACAACGTCACATGCCTCACATGCATTCTCGACGGCTTGGATGAATGCGACGAGGAAGGCCTTGAAGACTTCTGGACGAAAATCGAGACTCTTTACAAGGCAGACCCTAAAGTGAAGCCTGGCATACGTCACCACTCTTTGAGGCTTCTGATCGTCAGCCGCAATCATCCCTACTCCATTCAGAGAGCACTTGAGGACTGTCCCCGATTGCGATTTGAAGGCAAAGGCGAATATCACATGAAGTCTGATATTTACAAGTTCATCGACGATCGCATGGCCGGTCTTAAATGCCCAAGCGAGACGCGCACACACATCAAGGAAAAGCTGTGTGGTCGAGCGGAGAGCACTTACCTATGGGTCGGCTTTGCCATCAATGCCCTAAAGAAGGTCCGAGTAATCGACATGGAAAAGACCGTTGAGTCATTCCCGCGCGGTCTCGACGCCATGTACCGTCGTATGTTGCTGGCAATCACGGATCATGAACGCGCAAGAGTTATAGAAATCCTGCGGTGGATAATAGTCGCATTCCGTCCACTGAATCTACGAGAGCTTGCTATTGCCGTGAACACAAGCCCAGCGAAAGGTCAAAGCATGGAAGATGCTATCACTGATGAGGTCGCCTATGCAGGAGACTTGTTGGTGATGGAACGAAATAAAAGCACAGGCAATCAGGTCGTACGTCTGGTACACTCATCGGTTCTGGACTTCTTCCGGTCCATCCATCAATCCGATGTCAGTCTGGAGTTCTTTATGTTCCAGGAGATAGCTACACATAACCACGTTACCCAAAGCCTCTTCGATTACATGTTCCATACTTTCTGCAGTCTGCCTCACACTGGAGGTGATGTCACCCCGTTCGAATACAGGGCCCAATTCCAGAAGAAGGAGTACCCCCTTTTTGAGTACGCACTTACTTACGGCGTTGAACACTTGCTACGAATTGGAGACGTAAGCCTTATCGAAAATTATCATCAGCTACTGGACCCAGCCGAAGAGTACCATGCCCCATGGTTGCAGCACACATGTTGTGCAATGTACGGCCACAAGCCTCGGGAGGGAGTCACCGTTGCTCATCTGGCAGCCTTGGGGGGTCTGATTATCATACTCGATTACCTTCACACAAAGCAATATGCTAACATAAATGCCCAAGATGGCAGTGGGCGAACGTTGTTGTTTTATGCCACACTGCGCTGCCAGGTGGAGATGATGGCTTGGTTGCTGCTTCATGGTGCCGATCCAAACCTTCAAGACTCCAACCAAGAAACACCATTGCATATTGCTGCTGGAAAGAATCGACTCGACGTTGTTGAACTTCTTATTAATCACGGTGCACAAACATGTATCCAGTCATCATCTTCCGATCTCAGAAGGGGCCTAATTTGGGGTCGAGCTAACGACGAATTTGCAAGACTCGGGGTTGGTTATCGCGGTGGAACTCCTGTTCGTGTTGCTGCGATCAATGTAAACTTTCCTGCGCTACCTACTATACTCGCTCGCTTTTTGCAAGAAGGTGGATCGATTAACGACACCGACGAAGATGGTTGTACCGTCCTCCACGAGATCGGAACCTTCTTTCAAGAGTATCCACGGCGTTCTTGGAAGACGTTAAGCGAATTGTTTAAGTCTTTCGATGACTTTGATCCCGACATTCTGGACGATGATGGAGAATCTGCTCTGCATATTGCCTCACGTGGGGAGTATGCTCTGCATGTGAGCGGCCAATACTTCAATCCACCAATGTCTTACCCAAACAATGACGGCTTCGATGATGATGATGAGGATTCCAGAGAGAGGGATTGGAACGCTGTTAGCGCACTGATAGAACTGTTCGGGGCAGCTGTCGACATCCGAACATCCACTGGAGCAACCCCGCTACACCTCGCGTGCAAGAAGGTGGATCCCAGCCTAGTCGAATACCTGCTTCGCAAAGGTGCCGATCCGCGATTATATGATCAGTCTGGACAAAACGCACTGCACTGGCTTTGTAGCCAAAGGCAAAACGGGTTTGATAAGAGACCCGAGATTTGGTGCATGCTAGCACAGGGCATGACTTTGGTGGATATTGAAGCTAGAATGGCCGATGGCCAAACAGCTCGAGACCTTGTTGCCAAGTTTGAAGCAAAAAATCTGGGGAGCGATGATAGTGGCGATAGTGACCTGGAACCAGATGTTGAGGGACCTGCAGAGCCAGTACCCCAGCCTCAGGAAGAAAGTTACCTTCTTGGGGGGCGCGGACGTCCTTTTGCTTTTTCCGGAGATTTTGTTTTCATTCAAAACAGACTTCTTGTTCTGATTGATGACATGCTTGTGTTGATCAAGAGCGAGCCTTCAAGTAGAGCATTTGCGCGGTTGCAGCGACTAGTCGAGGAGAAACCTCACATGCAGCATTTGCTGGAGAAGAACCGCTTGTATTGGGAGTCTCAGACGAAGGAACGATGGCGACTGGTCTAAGCAACTCATGATGACGAGTTCCACACAACACGAGCCGGGGTTGAGGAATGTGCGATCAGAGATGGTGTCGCTGACTGCTGTTCAGACATAGTTACATGCCTCAGTCATAGATAGAAAGCGTCGATGGAGAACATTCAATAGCCAGTACCAGGTGCGAGCCGATGCTGTTCTATCATTGGAAACCGAACTTCATCGATCTGAATTGGCAACTGCTCCAGGTATCTTTGTAGAAAGGTTCTGTCAAGCCAAGTCCTTTCTCCCATTGACCTTTACTGCTTGAAGATCTCAACAGGAAAAGCATCAGCAATCGCCTGATACCCCGCAACACTCGGATGCAACCCATCACCACTATCGTACTTCTTGTCCAACCTCTCCGCATTCGTCTTATCCGCAACCATACTCGCAATATCGACCGCATGGTCATAAGTGCCACTCTCCAAAATCCACTTATTCACCCTCTTCCTCGTCTTCTCCCTCTCAACACCCGCATACCCATTACCCGCAAAAGGCGCAATCGTACCACCAATAGTCTTGTAACCAGCCGTCTTCGCATCAGCAGCGATCTGCTTGAACGCGGCGATGAGGCGGTCGCCGACAGATGTCTGCGCAGCAGCGGTATTGGCGTTACCGCCGATATCGTTGACGCCTTCGAAAACCATGGCCCATTTGACGCCGGGTTGCTCGATGGCGTCGCGCTTGTACCGGGTTAGGAGGGGTGGGCCGAGACCGCCGCTGAGGACTGTGTTGCCGCCGGCGGCTTGGTTGCAAACGGCAATGTTGGTATGGTTGGTGGATTGGAGACGGGCGAGTACGAGGTCGGGCCAGCTGCGGTGGTATTAGACGGGAGATAGTCTTGCGGGGTTGAGTAGTGCTTACCGGTTGTTCTTGTTGTCGTCTGAACCTCTTCCGTCGGTGATGCTGTCACCGAGGACCATCAGAGAGCGCGTGGTGGTTGGTACGTAGGCTTGTACTGCGCTGACGAAGTACCAGTGTACACTTTGAGTACCAGAGAAAGTCGTGGCATTGACTTTGTTTCCACTTACGAACCAACTCGTTGTTCTACTGCCGGGATGACCGGTGATGCTACTTCCGCTTTGTCCTTGCTGGCTGTACAAGCTTACAGTGAGCATGCTCTGAGGCTTGACTTCGAAAGTGATCTCATCGCTGGTAACGACTTGACCCTTGGGTACGGTGAAGCTAGACTTGCCACCAACGGTAATGGCTGCTAGAGGCGAGGCTTGCATGCCACTGACGCCCGCAGCGCCACCTGCAGGAAGACCAACAGAGCCTGCGGTGATGGGAAGATCCGAGCCACCGAAAGTGTTGGAAATGGTGATCTTGATCTTGGGTGCGCCAACGGACATGTGGAGGGTTTGGCGGAGCGTTGCATCGCGCATTACGCTTCCAGAGCTCTGCGATCATGTTAGCATTTCTGGGGTTCAACCTTGGGTGGTTCAGATCGCATACAAAAGGCGCTGGCGGCATGTTGCTCGCTTCCACCAACTGCGGCATGCTCGTCCAGGTATTGATCCAATGCGATCCATCCTGTCTCCTCTCAACAGTGTCAATCGCACGTCCGTTCACGGCCGGCGAGATCAAAGAAAGCGTCGCAAACACGATCGAAAAAAGTGATGTGTAAAACATCGTGGCAAGAAATAAAGTTTCAATTGGCTGGGATGATGTTGTCTCATTGCGGCTGACGACCGGTATTTGAACAGTTCATTTGGCATTTCGAATTAAGCATTTCGGGCACATTGCGTACTGCAATTAGTTCCCAATCTCAGCAGAGGCGGCTGCTCTGTCAATGCGACGAGCGCAAATGATGTGGGGTGTCAGTCGTTCAGCGGGCGGACGTTTGGAAGTAATTAATCCGGCAGGGTATACGGTGGCCGTGCTATAGCCAGTGCCTTTTGTCCTTGAGAGAATAGCCGGAGGCTTGGTCGAACGAGCGATGGTTCCGTGTAGTGCTCTTACGAACGACTGCCGAGGGTAATGTGAGATTGATGCTTGTGGGTGCATCTTCACTCTTCTGAGAGCCGGGTGGTCATTAGCTGGGTGCACAGCATTGCAGCTCTATTGTGCGGACGAGTGATATGGCAAGGGGCCTCCGGTACTCATGTTGATGGATTTACGGGCGCGCTCGCATCCAGCGTTGACGAAGGTGGCTCCAGCACGAATTGGTTGTCCATCGTCGAGGCACGAATGATATAGGAGTAGGTAGCGACGCGCTCAGGTTCGTGTGTGAAGGAGAAGTCCGAGAGGACAAGTGGGTATGACGTCATGACTCTGCCCTCCAACATGAGGCCTAACCATAATCCTTAACACAGCACTATCAAGTGCAAGTGAACGTAAGCGTGGCATCCAGTATTGCATCGGTCCTGGGCAGAGGGCAACGCGATGTTTGTCGACGATCGTTGCACCTGACGCGGTGGAGCTCCCCGTGCACGGACCGCCGCGCTTTCAATCAGTTCCTCGCCTCGCGTCTCGTTTCATCTATCACGCCATCAGACGACGCCGAGGCGCAACCAACCCTTTATACTACAGATCATCATATCAGCACGTCCTGTCAAGTCGGTATTCATCAAATGGCGCGTCGCGAACGTGTTATGCGTGCCGCAGGGCAAGCTCAGCCCAGACCGGGATCGCGCAGCTGTTTACTGGATTAAGACGCGTATGTACTTTCCCATACATAGCTTTGTGATACTTCGATGAATGCGAACTAATTACATTTGTAGTATCTTATATGATCGTCTACGGCACCTGAGTGTTCATCGCGACCTCGACAATATCTGTCGCGATCCTGTTGTGTTCATACACACCAGAGCGACTCGTATCCCAGGCCATTTTCTCTTTGTTGTATCGCTCCACGGCCTTTAAAAACTTACGATGTAGCTCTCCCAATCGTGGGAACTGTGCATCGCTACCCCCGGATTGTCTCTTCTTCGCACAGCTGATGTTCATCAAGCGCACCAGCTCTGCCCATGCAAGGAGCTTAAGGAAAGCGTCCTCATTCGAGAAAAAGCGGCTTCGCATAGCAGGGTTCCACCCTTGGAAGAGTTGGACGGCGGGACGTACTACGCCTCCAAACCAGTCGGGTTCTGCACGATTACCTTCCCATAGACGGAAGAGTTCTTCGGCGTGGACATCGACGTAGTCCTTGAGTAGACGAAGCTGCGTGACAGCAACGCCCTCCTCCGTACTACATATTATGCCCTTGCTTCGCTGTGGGAATTCGAGGGTGACCTCCTCTCGTAATGGATTGACTTGCAATTCAAAGATCTGTTCGATGTCATTGCCGATGCGCTCGGCTAGACTACGGTTGCACAAATACACCTGGCATATTGGGCACCTGCCGACCTTCTCATCAAGCGTACGCAGATTGTCCATGAGACATCGATCATGCATGGAGCAACCGCAAGGAGGTGCTATGACAGGATTCTTGTCTGCGTCATGGTAAGACTTGAAGCACAACTGACAATTCCCAGTAGGTGTAGGGTCTTTCCAAGAATTTGGCACAGCATAACGCTCAAGGAAATCCACCTGATCAGGAAGTGAAGACGGGATGGTGTCGGAAGCCTTGTGAAAACGTGAGCTTAATCGTTCGGTGTCGTGTGCAGGAGTGGACGTACTAGGGGGTGCCTCTGTGCACCGAACGCTGAAGCGTTTGGCCTTGGCCTCCAACTCCGACCTCGTATCCCAAGTTCGACCTTCAAGCTTCTTTAGCGTTGCAGTATGCCGTTGGTGTGCTGGCTTACCTGGAAGTTCGACTGGCGACCTGCGAGCGGGAAGTTCAATTGGCGATCTACGCGCGGGAAGTTCTGCCACTGGTCTATGAGTCGCTGACGTATCGACACCGAAAGAGTTCGCCCTATCGCCGTTCACGTAGAAGGTCGACGGTAGTAGCTCTTCGCTGTCCTTCTCAACCACCCATTTAGGTGGGTTGCCCTGGTACCATTCGTCATAGGCAAACGGTGGCGACCTTTCGCTTTTAATGGTTCCAACACTGGACTGCCCGCTCACTACCGATAGGTTAGTGGATGTGGGATTGTACGTCTTGTTCGTATACAGAGCAGTCACACCCAGCATGTCTCTAGCCCTTGCTACACTTTCATCTGTCTGGATTCCGGGAAACATACCCATCGTGGCCTGAGCATCCGCATAGATCGAGGACGTATCGTGAACGGAATCGACCCGATGATGGCGCGTGTGCGGCACTGTTGGTGAGGCTGAGCGCGTAGATGGGGGAGCCGAGCCCATGGGCGTGCTATCACGCGAAGAGGTACCATGTTGAGAGATCAAGACCGATGGACGACCCCTCTGCCATACTTGAGGGGGCATCTCTGGCTCCCGTGCTGGAATCAAAGCACTGCGATGGCGGCCTGGGATGATTGAAGATATACGCTCGGCAGTGTCACGTATCCTCGTCTCTAGCGAGGCTCGTGGCCTAGACTTCTCCCCAGTATGTCCGGACGAGCTTGGACGCGAATTACGCACAGAACTGGATGTCATGGAACCGGATGTCATGGAACCGAATGTCATGGAACCGGATTCCACGGAACCGGATAGCAAGTCTACACTGGGTGTGTAAGCCGGAGGCTCATCGCCATTCACGCCCTTCCACTGGTCCTTCGTAACAGTGTTCTTATCCTTGTGCATACAAAAGAACTCCGCACATTGCTCGACGATCTCAGGATGGCGCGGCGTCTGATAGCTATGCTTCCTTGGTTGTGAGCAGCGACACACGAAGTCTTTGTTCCGGCTGGTATAGTGAAAGTCTTCAACAAATACGCCTTCCATCGCCCATTTTGCTTCTCGGCTTGCGCGATACTTCCGGAAGTCAGCGAAGCTGCAGGATTCAAGGCCATGGCGGTCGAGATATAGCATTATGCTGGCGCTCAGATGCCTCGACTCGCATGCTACGGTGGACGTCCTCTCGCCATGTCGTCCCGCATCATGACATCGGCAGACGCGGGTGCGCTCCTCGCCAACGTAATGCAAGATGCGTTCCTCGGATGATAAAGAGGATAGGGAGTGGCGGTGGAGATCGTCTGCGCGGCGGACCTCGACTGATCTTGTGCGCTTGCGGCGGACGAAAACGTAGTTACCCTTGTTGTGCGCGTAAGACTGCATCTTGTTATATGGGTAACAAGACTTGGTGGATGGACAGGTAGACAGCAGTGTCTAGTGGTAAGTATGACCCCAGCGGTCTGCATAAAAGTACTGGACTGACTATCTAGAATCCAGGATCTGTGCATTCTTCCCAGAGTGAAGAGAACTACAACTAGGTTCTCCTTTCGTGACGTCGTGCACGCACCAAGTACAACGGCATCGTTCACACGAGAGAACGTGACGAAGTTGGTGTTGAGCACAGGCCTGCACAATGCGATTCATCCCCAGAGCTTTTCAAAAGCGTTGTGAGAACGACACTGATGCGATTAAGTCATACTTCGATCGCCTCTTCACGATGCGAGGACATTATGTTTCAGGTTGGCAGTGATGCGCGATGTTGTATACGAGAGGTGGTTCTCATTCTATCGTCTATTCGACGTTGTTCCTAGTCATTAAGGCCATTGCTACGGCCTTGCGCGACTGATTGGTAACGACCCTTCACATCGGCCGAAGTCGCTCTCGAATGATGCACATGGTTCGGGAATACCTCCCAGGACCCCGGCTCATCGTCCTCGAACAGATCGTCTAATCCTGGATCATCTTACTCGACCGCTTCTTCTGCATCCTCGAACAATTCATCTAAGTTCGAATCATCGACCTCAGCACTCTCTCCCACGTCTACGGGTACCGTATCTTCGGCGTTTTTCTTGACAAACGCTGGGTTCTTGTCTGGAATGGCAGACGGTTCCCAGCCTTTCAATAGAGTTTGCTGTTCGAGTGACAGCTGCAATTGTTGAGCCTCAAGATGTTTTGCCGCCCAATATTCATTGAAGCGTGACCAATTTGGCCACTTCTTCACATCCTCGATACGCTTACAGCGCTTGAGATCCCACTTGTACTTCTTCAAGTCTTTTGCGATTTTTTCTTGGCGCGCGGACTCAATGGCAGCGGCCTCTTCGTCTGGAGAAAGCTCAGAATCAACTTCAGAAGTAGGTGCGAGGCCCTGTTCAAGCGGATTCGGTACCAGGGTAGGTACAGGTGCAGCTCCTGCATCGACCTCATCGTGTGGCTGCTCTCGCCATTTTTTACTCCGTTCCTTTCTCGCTCCTTTCTTCGCGGTGGCATCCGCCTTCTTTTCATTCCGTAATCGCCCTTTCTCCGCAGTCTCCATCTTCTGGTCTTTCCCCTTACTGGTTGACTGTTCCGTCTTCCATGTAATATGGCTCTTATACAAGTCGCCCTTCTTGACCAACTTTTCCACCTGTCGTTTCCACGCCGATTTCTCCCGCGAGATTGAAGCTCTCTTTCTTTCCTTTGTGACTCCTTCTGTGCAGCAGGCCCCGGTTAACCATTGGTGGTTGCATTTGTACATTCCGGTGACTTCGTGCGGCGTAAAGTCCTCGATATCGCCAGGGTATGGAGGGACCGAGACTTTGTCCAGGTGATGTTTCCTCTGGTCTGGTTTGATGGGCTCCATCGGTACTGACGAAGTAACGGTAGGCGCAGAAGATATAGAAGTCTGGGGCTGTGGTAGTGGATTCTGCCCTGCTAGAACTTGATCAGATATGGGCAGTTGAGTCGTGTCTGCCACATCCACCGGGGACGTCGCAGATGCAATGCCGCAATACTGGTCATAGGCAGCTACCATATCCTGGTCGACTAGAGTCCCAACTGCCTGAGCCGCTACGATCCGGTCCCACCTCGCCCTGGTTTCAGCTGTATCTTGCTTGAGTCTACTCGCAAACTCCACCTCGGCCTCAATCAAGCTCGCTTCGAAGGTTGTGATACGCTTCCATAGCGACTGATTTTCTTTGCTAGTTTGGTCATACTCGCTCATCTGACGTCCTAGCTCTGCCATTTGGCGGTATGCGATATAACGCTTGTAGGAAGGCAGGGAGCGTAGGCGCCACACATCGCGTGGTACTAGCATCTCATCTTTCTGATCGACAGCAGATCCGATAGTGCCTTGCTTCGCGGGAATGGCTGGAATGATCGTTACGGCCTTTCCTTGAAGGTCTGGATGCGCATTGATGAGCCACTGCTCTTGCTGAGTGCGCGACGTCGTTCGCGCGGCCTGCACATTCACAGCGGGAACTTGAGCACCGCGATGAAGCCCTTCTACTCCTGTCCGATGAGAGGCAATCCGTGTGGCTGCGACTGGAGTTGCGCTGTACTGGTGTGGTCCTTGTGTACCCACCAGTGGCTGGATACGCTGTTGCTGTTGCTGACTGCGCTGAGAGTGCCCGGGCATTGTAGGCACCATGGGGTGATTTGGCTGGTGACCTTGGACAGGCTGAGGTATAGGTATTCCTGATGTAAACCTATGCTGATCACCTTGTACAGGCTGTTGGCCCGCTGTAGGCCCCATGGGGTGATTTGGCGCGTGACTATGCGCAGCCTGGGATGCATGTAGCCTCCACGCATAATCAGGCTGTACCACTCGAGCAGGGTGTCGGTTGACGTTCGGCCCATAGACTTGGTATAAATTCCCAAACCCCATTTGTTGAGTTGTCGGAGGCCGTGACGGGGGGCTGGAACCATACTGTCGGTTGTTGCTGTGTATATACCCTAACGTGGGAGTATATAAGCCGCCCTGGGAAGGCGTGTATTCTGAGTTGACTCCCCATGGGTTCAGTGGGACCGATGGATTAGTATGCGGCGGGCTTAAGTAGGGAGGATGGACAAGAGATGACGATGCTTGTCGTGGAATGTAAAGCGAGGGTGTTTGGGTGTAGCAATCGTGGACGTCGCTGGAATCTTCAGGCGGCGTCCAAAGTCCATGTTGACGTTGTCGCTTGATCGGTCCAACCGATTCTTCTTCGTGCGCGCGCTTCGGTGGGCGAGGTAGCGTCGCAGGCGTGGACGGTAGCTGAGACATAACAGTATGACTACCAGCCGTGGGTATGGCGAGACGTTGTTGCTTAAAGACTTTTGGAAGCTCGCGAATTCGCGATCGAAGTGTTGAGCGTGGCAGTGGACAGGTGGAGGTGGGTTCCAGAGGCTGCGGTATTGCTGGAAGACCAGACCCAGCGTCAGGACCAGCGAGCACGTGATTCATTCGGTCACTATTGTTCTGAATACGGGGCGATGCCTGCGAAACGCACTGACGGTCACTCGGAAGCGGCAAGTGCTGTGTTGCTTTCACTTTCACTTTGCTTGTGCTACTCTTGCGTGCAGGAGCCTGTATTAATTGGAACGCATGCTAGATCGATGATGAAGTAGGGAGGGGTTCGGTACTAACGTCTACATGAATAGGGTTCGTGGTCAGAGGAATCGTGTCGCTTACCACCTACATGGACGCTTGTACCGAAGAAACTAAACTGCATATTAGGACTTGGGGTATACATTGTCTTCTATACTACGTATCTGTACCTGTAGAACTCTGTGTATGCAGCAAAGTAATACAGACTATCTCTATTCGCGCGTTAAAAGGTAATATAAGTAGTCTAGCGAAGTTTTCCTCTACTCTAACTCTAAGTATTGCGATATCTCTTATTTAATAAGAAGTACCTTTTATATATATAGTAGTTATATAATTTAGAAGTTATAAGTAGCTTATTTTACTTTATATTATTATAATACTATAAATAAAATAAAAAAGAACTAAAATATTAAATTATATACTATAGTAAGTTAATAGTTAAGAAATATATAATATAACTATACTTTAATATTTTTATTACTTTTATAACTTATTACTTTATTAAATATACTAGTGTAGAAATATAAGTATAACGTAGTTAAGTAACATAGTATATAATTATAATATAGGTATATTTTCTAAATATCTTATTTTATAGTATATAGTAGTATATATTCTTTTAAAAGTTTTAGAAATTAAAACTAAGCTATAAAGCTTAACGCTCTTAAACCTTATATAAAAGTATAAAAGTAAAAAGCTAGAATTTAGCCTAAATTCTATAAAGAAAAAGAGTATATAAGTATTCTACGCGCTCTATATACCTTTAGAAAAGTATTTAGAAGTTATATATATATTTTATTACTTTCTAGAAGCTTTATATAAAAGTATAGAGTAGAGAAAGCTATAACTATAAAAAAATAGCTATAAACGTTTAAGAACTTAAACGTATTTAAAGCTATTTCTAAAATAAGACTATAAAGTAAGAATAAGACTATAAGGTAGTAAAGTAGTAAGGTGTAGTAGTTTGTAACTCTAAATTCTATACGTAATAACTCTAAATTTATTATATAATAGCTATTTTAATAAAAAGTTTTATACGTGTAATTATACTAAACTTTTTAGTAGTTATAGAAAAGTAAAAACTTCTACTTTCTTTTCTTTCTCTCTTCTCTTATCTTTCTTATTCTTTATATCTTCTATACCTTTTAAATTTTTTTTTATATTTATCTTTCTAACTATAATATACTATAATAATATATTAGATAACTTTATAACTTTCTATATCTCTAAGATACGTAGGTACTATATACTACTTATAGTGCTAGCTATAGTAGCTTATAAATATAAAAGTAGTAAGTTTAATTTTATAAAGTATATATTAGTAAACTAGTAGTATAAAATAATTATAGATAAGACTACTATATATACTAGACTAGTCTATAGATTTAATATTCTTAATACTATATAACGCTGCGTATTTAATACTATATTTAGAATCTATATTACTATCTTAGAATCTATTACTATAATAGTAAGTAGTAGTAGTTTTTTAGAGTATATAGACTTTGCTAGTCTATAGTATTCTTATTAGCTAGATCTTATTAAAGCTTTATACTATAGCTTACTCTCTTAAGTCTAAACTAACTTTATAAATAATATTATATAATTAGGTAAATATAAAGCCTAAATACTATAGATTTTTACTATAGTAGAGAATCTTCTTAATGTAAAGGCGCTTTAAACTACCTCTATAGCTATACCTATAGCTTTTATATAGGCTAGTAATTAATAATAATAATAACTATAAATCTATAATTAGGCTAATAATATAAGTAAGATAAATAATTTAGATAATAGAGTAATAATAGCTTATTAATAAGCTTATAGTAGAATATATAACTAGTATAGACTATAGGTATATTTAAAATCTTTCTAAAGTATTTAGACTAGCGTATTAGAGTAGAGAATATATAGCTCTTTTATAGTACTATAAATATATTACTACTAATTCTAGAATTTTCTTAAGCCTTTAGGTAATTATAACTATAATAGAAGTAGTAGTAGCGCTTACTTTTAAGAGAGACTATATATAATATAGTAGTGCTACTAGATATTATCTATATATTATTAGTAGTAATAAATAAGTTAATATAGATTATAAGTCTTTATTATAAATATATAAGAAAAAAAAGTATAGATAAGTAGTAAAAGGCGTTTAAGTTTAGACTTAGTTTTAATAGCTTAAAAGTTTATTTATTAGTTATAATATAGTATAATATTATAAGATATAACGTAGTAGACTCTATCTCTAAGGCCTAGAGAGAATACTTTTATAACTTATATAACTATAGCTACTAATATTTTCTTTATTAATATTATAAGTATTAAGTATAGCTTCTAAAAAATACTTATACTTATTAATAATATTTTAGCTACTTATACTTTTTTTAATTTACTTAGTATTAATAAAATAGCTAGTATTTTATAAGCTAACTTTTCTACTTTACTTATTAGCTTTATTATTACTTTACTTATTATCTTTATTATTACTTTACTTACTACTTTACTTATTAGTTAAAATACTACTTATTAGTAAAAAAATAGTATATACTTTTTTTAAGTATAAAATATATAAAAGTACTATTAACTTAAAATTTAGCTAACTATATAAGTAAAACTTATATAGTATAACTATAAGTAAACTTTAAAAAATAAGTAATAAATAATTTACTTTACTATTTTTTATAAGCTAGCTTTACGCTAATACTATAAAAAACTAAGTACTTTAGTAATACTTTATTTTAGCTTAATATATAATAAATATATATTAATAATATTATTTATAGTTATAGCTTAAAAGTATAAATAAAAGTAAAGTAAAAGTTTAAAAATAGTAGTAGCTATTAAGTAATAGAATTTATATTTAAGTAAATATAGTCTTATATGTGTCTTATATAGGCTAAACGCGAAGAAACAACCTTTTCCTCTACTTCTAATCGTTCTTATTAGTGAAATTGTTACTGTCGTAGAGAGCCTCAAGATCGTGTTTTCCGTCGAACTCGAGATGCACTTTCAGTCCGTCGGCGCCATGTTGGTTGAGAATTGTGCCACGTTCAGTGTTGAAGAACATGTAGTTGCCTAGGATCTGGTTCACCTGAACTCCTGGTAACAGCTTCCTTGAATAGTCTTTTAGGGACTCATCCGGTCCTGCTTTAGGCCAGTAGTGGCCTTTAGCGGAGCTCATGCCACGGAAGGTCAAGGTCTTGAGATTTGGCCATGGTTCGGTGAAAGCTTGCTCCACATCTCCTTGATGGCAGTACGAAATTGCTCGTTTCTGGTATCGTATTCGGCATCCACCCCGTCGTAATCGCGGTAGCACCATGGATGTAGCGAGTCGTCGTCCAGGTAGGCTCTTGGAGGCTGCTTGTGGGAAAGGGTGAAGCAGTTATCGTGGGCGTCTTGGCGGTGGAGCTCGATCTATGAGTGAATGGTGTCAGTATATGTCCCGAATGCGGTACAGTGGCGCTACTAACGTTCGTCCAGAGCGCCGACTGCGCGAACCCGCGATACCGCTTCGAAGCGCGCACCAGCTGAGTCAGATCGTGCGGTCGCAGGTAGCTCATGACGTCGATGGTCAGCTCGGCTGGCAGCTTGTCGATCATGGCCTCCGTTTTCGATGAAGACGCTACCGTGGTGGCGGCTCAGTGTTGCAGGACACAATAGATGTATGTGTTTGTGGAGGAATGAGAGACGGGGATGGGCTCAACAGGTAGTCGTGAGATGATAAGACGCTAGTGGGAGTGAGTGCGCATCAGAGGAAAGAGCGGAGGAGGGAAGCGCTATCACGTGCGCGATCGTGGAGTGAGACGGCACTGCAATAGAAAACTCGGGTTGCTGCATACAATGTACTATATATCAACAACTGATCTATCTTAAAGGCGATGTATACTGCAGAGGTAGTCAAGAATCCAACTACATCTCCATCACCATCCCGACCTATGCTCCGTAAATCCTGAGATCAGCGTAACCATTCCGCCAACCCCTAGCCTTTTCCTGCACAGCCTTCACCACCGAATGCGGCAACGGCGCCGTCCACCCCTTCTTCACCAGCAACTTCTTCTCCTTCTCGTAATACCCTTCTTTGCGCCACACCTCGAGTGTAACACCTAGCTTCTCAAGCTCATCTGCAGCGTACCGGAAGAAGGTGACATCCGTCGGATCCAATTCATACAGGCGAGGTGCATCTTCCCTCGGGTTATCCATCTCCATGATCACAACAAGAGCGAGGCGTTTGAGCGGAGGGAACATGGCGGCTAGAGCAGCGAGGCAGATTTGGAGTGCTTCAGTTTCGCTCATCTCATCGCTTTCTTCAATGGTGTTGTGGAGAAGAGTGACGAGATGGTGGAGCTTGTCGATGTCGATGCAGTCCAATGTTAGATCTTCCAAGCTCGCGGGGAAGACGGCGTGAGGGTTGGAGAGACACTTCAAGTTGGTGGAGTTGGTATCGCTTTTGGGGACGAGGAGGTCGAAGTCGATGTGTAACTGGCGGAGATTTGTGAGATCTTTGAACGTATCGAAACGGGGGTGGCCTTCTTGTCGGTCGGACTTCTGATTTGACCACTGGAGTAGTTCTAGGAGTGGGGTGTGTTTCTCTAGGCTTCGTAGCAGTTCAGCTAGGTTGTCGCCACGCAAAGCGAGAGGCAGGTTGTGTCTGCTGCGTCCGCAATTATCGACCACGAGTTCTCGGAGGTTGGCCATTGCTGGGTTGCTGACCATGTTCTCGATTATAGCAGGAGTGATGTTTCTAGTTGTCGTAAATCGAATTCGGCGGAGGACGGGTTGCGCAGGCATAGGGGATGGATAAGCGAACATCGATGTAGTCGGTCGTGCCTCGACGTCGAAATACCCGACATTGTACTCTAATGTTCGTAGGGTTGGCAATACCACAATGGAAGGCATCAGAGAAAGACCGGCGTTGTGGACGAGATGTTGAACGTTCTGAAAGGGGCCTTTGCCGTCACTCCAAGGTGCCCAAAGAAGGCGTAACACATGTGTAGGTGGTTCTTTGGAACCAAGTTCTAGATACTGGATCTTCTGCGCCATAAACAGAATGAGCGTGAAAATCTGATTGCTGGCTGTATAGTGATTCATGGGAGCCGTCAGAATATCACAATACAAGGTCAGTTTTGCTGAGAGGAATTCCGAGAACCCGCATCCTGGAGAGAGAACTTCATCCAGCACCTCTTGTATCGCGTGCGTGTAATTCCATACATCATATTGGAGCTTCTTCCTCGTCGGCGGCTTTATGTCGGCGTCGTGAGAGGACCAATGCTGGGCTGGTATGTAGCTCAAGCTCTTGATGTGAAGGGCGAGTTCCTTGCGGTCTAACAACGTGAAGAGCAGTCGCAGTGGCCTTTCAAGCTCAGATTCATACACTTCGATATTCGTGTAGAGATATGGCTCAGCAATGCCCCGGTAGTATTTGTTCGTCTTGGAGAAGGCGCTGAGAGCCTTAGTGTCGCCGACGAGGCAGCTGGCGATTTGGCCATCAAGCTCCGTCGATAGCTTCTGGAGGGACATGTTGTATGCTGTTGGGCCGACTTCGTTGAAGTGGTGGAAGAACAGTGGTGTGAATAGAGGTCGAGTGGAGAGTCTGCAATCACGAAAGCAACCGCCTTAAAGTTGAAAGTTGAAGCCAGTGGTCGCTCGCAGTAGTTGATCGCTATACTTCTGGTAGCGGCGTTGAGACTGGCAGAATAGCGGCGTGGATAAAGCCTGGAGTCGGATATAGAACTGAAGAAAACACAGTCGACCACACCCGCTCGGACCCTCATCTTTCGGTTTACGCACCGCCAGTAGTGAAAGACCCATGGATCCCTACCTGTGTGCGTAAGGTGTTCATTTTCATCTCCCCACCAACTCAGATGCGACCCCAGACCTTCTTCAGCCCACTCACACGCATATGCCCAGTTCAGATCCATAGTCTCCTACCTGGATGCACGTGAGTATTCGTTTCCATCTCCCCCAACGACCCAAATTCCGCTCAGAACCCTCTCTTTCAATAATCACGTGTACCCCCACCAGCAGTGAAGAACTGTGGGATGTTTCCCACCTGCGTGCGTATGGACATCGCGTCTACTTCCCTTGCGCCCTTCAACATCCTCGCACCCATGACGTACCGTCAATCTTCAACTCTTTCCTGCTTGCACGCTGAGCCATCTGAATTCCGCTGCTCATGTGCTGGCTATACATCATGCTCTTGCCTTCGCATCTCCTTACACTCTACTTCACCTCTCCCACCGCCTCAACCCCATGAACATCAAGACCAACACCGCACCCACTTGTGATGTAATACGATTAAACATTGACCAGCCCGAGCACACCACTACTTATGTATACATATGCTCCTTTCCCACTAACGCCACTTCATAACCTTCGTTGATCGAGATGAAGAAAAACGAACACGCTTGATTCCGAAGAAAATGTTCAAATGCGAGAAAAATTGCGGTCTTTCATTACCTCAACGGCGATCCCGCCCTCCCCTCCACAGGCGTCTCGCCCGTCGTAACGCGTATACTAGGCAAGCGCTCTAAATTCAGATTCAACGCCGGTAACTGCGGCGCCCTCGTATTAATCGGACTTTCGTAATTCGGAGGATCTTCATACGCAGGCGCGTCTTCCCCTGGTACCATCGGTCCACTCCCGCCAACTCCACTTCCACTTCCACTCCCACTATAACTCCTCTCCGGATTCAAACTCACAACCTCAAACCCCTCGGTATTAGGACTGGGACCAGGACTAGGCCCAGCAGTAGAATGTGAATTCGAGCGCGACGCATCCGCAAAGTCGTAATCGTCTGAACCACGGGATTCTACGGATTGGGTGAGAGATGTGACGGAGAGGCCGCGGGCGTGGGCGTCGCGACCGCGGGATTGGCCGGAGAAGGAGGCGGCGGAGTCGAGGAGGGGTCTGTTGTCGCTTTCGGAGGAGTTGGCTCGGAGGCGTGTGCCGTCGTGGCGCGCGACGCCTAGATCGCCATACGCAACAGCGCTCACGCGTCTGTCTCTCGACCGGGTCCGGGCTTGGTGCTCTGCGATGAGCATCTGGGAGACGGAGAGGTCCGCTGCTTCTTCTGCGCGGCGCCGTATGTCAGCTAGGGCCTGGACGTCGCCGCGAGCGCGGGCTTCTCGTCGGGCTTGACGCCGGGCTTCGCGGTCGGTGGCTTCGATGCGGCGGGCGAGCCGGATTTGATAGAGGGATTCCATTTCTTCTTCTCGTTGGCGCTCTTCTTCGTCGATGGTTTCGGGGAGTTCGAGGACCGTGTCTACGCCGCCGCGTTCGCCTTCGCGGGCGAGGACGCGCTCGTTCTCTCGTGCGGCAGACGAGTAGGCGGGGAGGGTCATGACGCTGCGGACGGAGGTGTTTCTGTCGACGCCGGCACCGGTAGTGCTGTTTATTTGCCTCTCCGGATCTCCAGCTGCTGCTCCGCTCATCTCACCACTTGCCCTGCTTGTGCTCCCCCGGTACTCCGTATCCTGCAGACTGGTCGAGTAGTCATTTCGGCGCGGGCGCTTGCGGAACGCTTTCCACGAGAATAACGAGGGGAGTTTGTCGGCGGACGACTGCTGTGCTTTCTTTGCGGCGCGGTACGGGGCGCGGAACTTGAGGGTTGAGAAGTATGTGATTATGAGGATGGCGAAGATGGCGACGGCGATGATTCCGACCTGGGGAATGCAGGGTTAGCCAGTGCGTGGTAGAGTATGGTAGAGCGATGGCGTAAACTTACTACGACAAAGGTCCTGCCCTGCTTGGAGACTTCTCTCCTCTCGAGGGCGCCGTCCCTTGCATGCCGCGCGGGTAACAACATGGCACCCAAACAACCATGCACCGGGCCCGTCCAAACGTCAAATGTCACCGGAGTCTTGTTTTCACAATGAGATCACTTGTTTGGAGAAGTGTGGATCGCCCAGGCTGCCAAAGGCCCGCCTTCTTGGTTCTGTTTGGCACTAGGGAGCTGTCGAACCGTTGCGTCGTGCGAGGGTCAAGGCAAAACGTTAAGAACAAGCGGCGGGAAGCGATGTCGTGGATGCGGTTAGGATATTGGGGGTTAATGGGTGTATAGTTTGGCGACTACGGAACGACCGAACAACAATGGGGGAGAGCCGCGAGTAATGGTCTGGCTAGGTCTGCGCCCGGAAGTTGGTCTTGGCAACCTGGCTGAGTGTTGATGCGGTTGCTGGGATGATGGAGCTGTGACCAGGGGCTGTGGCACGACGAGGTAGGGAGATGGAAGGATTGCAGTAAGATGCAGGACGATGCAGTAAAGAATTTCTCTGGCATTGCCATCTTTACACATTCAATCGCATCCTCAACAGTTATGCATTATGCAACATGACAACCAGCCAGCGGCAGACGCCAAAAGCAAGCCTCATGTCATCTCCAGAAACCTGCTGCTATTCTTAGGCGCCATCTCCCAGATTCAAGGTCCCCACTAGCGCCGGCTCCTGATTGGCGCACCTACTGCAAGATGATCGCATTCACATGTTTGATCTACAGCGCCGTGGCACAGACTGAACAAACGGCGGTCGCAATAACGGTCGTGAGCAAAATTTCGAAAATGGTTATACAGTATATTTTTTGGAGTAAATGACTTGAATGGAAG